CCGCGACCACTCCCGTATTTGTGGTGCAATTCGTCGAGTTTGGTTTTGCCTAGGGAAATAGTTTACAGGGCCTCGTCGGGGATGGTGAGTTGGTACCCCCCTCTCTATCCGCAGGCATACCTTCAGCGTGACCCCCCTGATCACATCCCATACCATCCCGGTATTGGCCTTGCCATCCCAATTTGGGGCAGTGCGTGTGAAATCCCGCCCCGTGAAGCTATTGAAACGCCTGCGGGGGAAAGACCAAGAAATCTGCTGGCATGTGTTCTGTTCTGGTCCTGTTCTTTCGTATTGAAGTGTACCATTGTAGAAGTATTCTTTTTTTCTTTCATCCGCAGGAACAAATTCTTCCGACGACTTGGACTGATTGCGGTACGGGTCGATTTTGGGACCTTCCCACTTAATTTACTCAACGTGTTCCTCTTACCGTGTGCGTTTGTTTCTGTTTTACCTGTTGAGATTTCAGCTGTCATGCCGTACACGTGTATGCCGCCACTAACCAAGATCGCTACATATGGGACACAACACACAGTACCACTGTCTTTTCTTCTTTCACCAAAAAACAATCACTGGTGAGAATTATATGTACGGGAAGAGCGCATCCGTGCCCACGTTTGTCGTTGTTTTCTTTCGATCAAATTTGGGCGTTCAGTGTTGACCACAATTCTTTCGCGGGTGTTTTGGGTTCATTTTTTCATCGTTTTTTTGGGTTCTTTTTTGTTTTTTTTCACGTTTTTTCGTGTTTGTTTTTGCTTTCAATTTGTGATTGTTTTTGAGTTCATAAAACAAAAGCACTCGACGCAATCAGGGTGTTTTTTGTTTTTTGGTGCATAACCTACGCAGCTACTTGACGCGATTCACAGCAGTGTGTCTCTTATGTTGGTGGATAACACACAAGCACTTGAAGACGCAACTCACCCACACGGTAACACCGTATGATGCCAGCCGGGCGTGGAGTTCGACGATCCCAACCTGCGCAACCTGGTGGAAGAGGTTTCCTTGAAAGAGGTTCGCGTTTTTAACCCGGGGATGGAGACTAACATCATCGCCTTCGACTGCGGCATGAAGGCTAATATCATCCGGTGAGAGCGTAATAGTCTTGTCAACAGCAGCTGCAGCGGTGGCGTGTGGTCGGTAGGCTGCATGTTTTTCCCATAGCAGTTTCCATGGGGTGTAATGCACACGTAGGCGATACAAGTAGGGGCGTTCAAGGCATCTATTAGTGGTGTGAGCTACTGCTGTAGACCGGCAGCTCAGGGGATCGGGTCTGTGAAGGTGTGCACAGCAGTGGTCCGCAAGTGCGGCATGGGGGCACAGAATTTCGCGGAATTTTCGGACCGCAGCTGCAGCCATGGACAACACCGCTCCAGCGTCAGATCTGGGCTTGCCAACGCGCATGTCGCTGCTCCATTATGCCCTCCTCTGGATTGTATGTAAGCCTAGGCCCGGACGCCGCAAGCCGGAAGGTGACTTGCGAATTCTTCGACCTCCTACTTAATATATATTGGGTTTAGACTACTATAGTGGATTACGAGGGACGGCAAGATATCCCCTTGAAGACGAAGCAGAGCAGCAAGTAGCGAAACATTTTTTTTTTGGTTCGGGAAACCCCACGGCCACCAATCGCCACCGACGAAAAATCACCGTCAGGTGCTTCGTTACGGAGCAGAAGGTGACTTTCACCGTGGTGCCCTTCGACTACGACCTCGAGGCTAACCCCAACAACGTCCAGTATCATGGGGTGTTCATCAGCAACGGCCCCGGCGACCCCACGATGTGCACCTCCACCATCAAGTCCCTCAAGTGGCTCATGAAGAAGGCGGCGGACGGGGAGAAGCCGGTGCCGATCTTCGGCATCTGCCTGGGTAACCAGCTGCTAGCCCTCGCCGCTGGGGCGAAGGTATTTTCGTATTTTTTTTTTGCTGCTTTTTCAACGTGTTTTCTTCGTTCACGTCTTTGTCGTTTAGTTCCAAATGTTCGTCAATTTTCAGAAGGCGCGATATGTTCTCATGTGCTTTCTTGTTCAAAAGGAGAAAGGTGTGGAGTGTTCGGTTGTACCGGGGGGGGGGGGGGGGGGGGGGGGGGGGGGGGGGGGGGGGGGGGGGGGGGGGGGGGGGGGGGGGGGGGGGGGGGGGGGTCGAGTGTCGTAACGATCAAGGAAAAGCTATACATTGTGGAGTATCGGACATGTATAGCGTCCAACAAGCGTGCTGGAACGTTTGGCTTCTCTGCTTTTTGCGTGACCCACTACTGTACTCTGGTGTCTACCGTATATGACACAAGATAACACACACACCCTGGACCGATTTTCAAAGCTCGACTACTCCACGACGAAGAGGATGCAAAAACGAAACGATACATCCTCGAAACGCTCTCGACGAGACGGTTTCAACGCCGCCGTTTTCGGCGCTGTGACTGTCCCGGCAGTTGAGAAATCGAGCTTCGAAAATCGGTCAAGGGGGTGTGTTATCTTGTGTCATATACGGTATGCATACTGCGGTGCCCCGCAGTTTGCAAATGATCGCGAAAGACGGTAGTGTGTATCAATGTGGTGGGGTGATGCCAAAAGTTTTTCGTATTGTTCTTCGAACCTTGGTTCCGCTTTATCTACGTTTTGTTTTCAGACTTTCAAGATGAAGTTCGGAAACCGAGGGATGAACCAGCCGTGCATCGACATGAGGACGGCGAAGTGCTACATCACCCCTCAAAACCACGGGTAAGTGGTTGCGCCTTTGCGTTGTTGTTGTTGTTGTTGTTGCTGTTCTTGTTCTTGTTGTTGCTGCTGTTGTTGTTGTTCATGTTGTGATAATTCACAGCACCGCCCCATCTTCAATCGTGGGGCCTGAATTCGGTTTGAACGATACAGGGCTGACATGAATTTCGCCGAATGTCACGTATTTCGTGGATACTAGACATTGGTTTGGGCCGAACGTACGGCGACTGCCTTTGTCAACCAATGTTTTTTGTTGTAATTGCGTGGAAGGTTTGGAGCGCGTGGCCAAAATAGCCCATCCGCATCAGCGCTGTATGTAGCAAGAACATCTGCTGCTGTTGCTGACGTCAGGTGTAAGGGAGACAGGGGCGTATTCTCATGTTTTGCACGTCTTAAAAAGCTGTTAGACCACGCGTCCTCGAGAGATATGAGTCGGGGGGATATGAGTCGGGGGGGTGTCTTGAGGCTCGCGCCGTGGCTCAAGTTTGTTTAGGGGGTGTCGTGTGGTGACACATACCAGGTGCCAACGAGAGCGGAAGAAGAGACGCTCGGTAACGGGTTGTGAGAGAGAGGAGGCAGCTGGCCCGCTGTGCTTTTATGCGGGTTCCGTGTGTCTATCGGTGGCAACACCCCGAAGGTAGATCTCCGACGGGTCATGTGACGTCACAATCTACGAGTCAATCTGAGGTGACAGTCACAAATACGTAGGAACACTCACGAAGGGATGTTAAGCTGCGTTTTTCTTTGTAGATCTCTTGTTTTACACTGCACGCATTCTAACGTTTGTAACGATTTTTGCCATTTTTTTTGCTCCGTGTTCTTTTTCTTCTTGACCGGCGTGGTCTTTCCTTGTGCAAACTACAGGTTCGCCGTTGATCCGAGCACGCTCCCCGACGGGTGGAAGACCCTGTTCAGCAACGCCAACGACAACACCAACGAGGGGGTGATCCACCAGACCGAGCCGTGGTCTTCGGTGCAGTTTCACCCCGAGGCTGCCGGCGGCCCCATGGACACTGCCTTCCTGTTCGAGGGCTTTATCAACGTGAGTCAGGCCTGCGTACCGTACGAGGCGGAGAGATGGCACCAACACCCCCGATATGTAGACCGATTTTCGAAGCTCGATTGCTTCTCATCCAAGATTGTCTGTACCGTACCGTATGCCGTACCGTTGTATTCCGTAAGAGGCGGAGAGGTGGACACCACCAACCCCCCCTCGACCGATTTTCGAAGCTCGATTGCTTCACATCCAAGATTGTCTGTACCGTACCGTATGCCGTACCGTGGTATTCCGTAAGAGGCGGAGAGGTGGACACCACCAACCCCCCCTCGACCGATTTTCGAAGCTCGATTGCTTCACATCCAAGATTGTCTGTACCGTACCGTATGCCGTACCGTGGTATTCCGTAAGAGGCGGAGAGGTGGACACCACCAACCCCCCCTCGACCGATTTTCGAAGCTCGATTGCTTCACATCCAAGATTGTCTGTACCGTACCGTATGCCGTACCGTGGTATTCCGTAAGAGGCGGAGAGGTGGACACCACCAACCCCCCCTCGACCGATTTTCGAAGCTCGATTGCTTCACATCCAAGATTGTCTGTACCGTACCGTATGCCGTACCGTGGTATTCCGTAAGAGGCGGAGAGGTGGACACCACCAACCCCCCCTCCACCGATTTTCGAAGCTTAATCGCTTCACAACCAAGCTTGTGTGCCAACACAAAATATTGTGGTTTGGAAGCATCCCGTTGAGGTCTTTCTGTAGGCGTATGGGGCTCTTTGCCTACCCACTTGGTTGTGGAGCAGTCGATATTGGACGATCGGTCTAGGAGGGGTGCCATTTCTCCGCCTCTACGGTATGCAGCCTACCGTAGGTTACGCAAGATACCGCACCCCTTGCACCGATGTTCAAAACTCGAGTATCAATACTTGCTGCACGAGGAAGAGGGAGCATGTGATGCGTTTTTGGAAAGCCGTCTCCAACGTCTGCCGTTTTCGGCACCGCCACCTTTTCGCGCTTTTGAAGTCGATGCAGGGAGTGTGATATCTTCCGTCATGTTTCCCACGGTAGCGTCGCACCCCGACTCTGCTTGATTCTCGTATTGGCCTGCTTCGGATTGATCTTCGGGCTACTTCCGGGGTAACTCAGTCCGCGCGAGGGGGAGGGATCTCGCGCGTCTTGTGCATATGTCGGTAGAATAGAGAACACGAGCCCTGAAGGGCAGAAGCAGCACGACCGAAATTTCCCGCGCATCCTCGCCCCTGCTTGAACGATGTGGTGCTAATCCAGGCCGTGAAGGGGTACGCGCCCAAGCTGACCCTTCTGGAGCCGCATATCTTCGAGATGAGGAACATCAAGAAGGTGCTCATGCTGGGGTCGGGGGGGCTCAGCATCGGTCAAGCGGGGGAGTTCGACTACAGCGGATCTCAGGTACGTTGTTTTCTTACAGGGAGGAGGCGGGGGGGGGGGGGGGGGGGGG